AGTGCTTTATTGTTGTTGTTGTTGATGGTTTTTGTGGGTGTTCACTTGAAAGGCTTTTTGCCTCTGAGATGGAAAAATGAGCGGAGAGGCAGGAAGTATAGAGAGGAAAGCAAATACATACAAGTGTTGAATCTTATGAATAACACATGAGGTTTTTTTGTACTTACTTATCATTGATTTATCCCAGTATATATGACACATACATTGAAAAGATTCATATTTGCACATTTGCTGGAGTAATCCAAGGTTTAGAGTTTTGGAGGGTTTTTTTGCAGCATGTGCTAGAATACACAAGTGCACGTAAGAAATGGAAATCATTGGGATAAAACAGCTATATTACTGTTAGAAGGTAACATTGGGGGAGTTTGGAAATGCAGGTATGTTTAATTGAACAAGACAAAGAGATAATGAATAGAATGGAACATATAGCAGCAAGGATGAGGAAATCAACTATGTGATGCTGGAATCCTAAATAATGAAGGCTGGGGGGAAATGAAAAGAAGAAGGAAGCAGCTGAAGAAGCAAAGAATGAGATGCAATAAAGTTACTGAGAAAGCCACAAGGTGAGTGACACGAAGGGCGCAGAACAAGTGTTAAAGTGGAACGCTGGAGAAAGCAGGAAGCAAGAAGGAAGACAAAAGCAAGAAAGAAAGAAGGAACAGAACACGTTGAGTAAAGGAAACCCAGAATGTGAACGCGACAAGAAGAGATCAATTACAGAATGACTGAATCGTGCATAATATGCAGGGGTGCTGTGTGAGGGTGAGAAAGGAGAGAAAATAATAGATAGGAAAACGTGGATAATCCTTTAAAAAGCAGATAAGGACTAATCTCAACGTACAGTGAGGAAAGTGAAAGTGATGACAGAGAGGAAAGTGGAGGAGCAGTTGAAGTTCAGAAGAAGGAGCTTGACAACGGGAATAAGAAGCTGAGAGACTGAGAAAAATGAGCCCAGGCAGGAGGAATGAATTAATGAGATATAAGAGAGCTCAAGAAATAGTCCAATATACATACCACATTCTATGAATTATAATTATAATAACAACAAGAGCACTCAGAGAATGCAACAGCCCCGGAATAGCAAGGGCTATACTAAAACTCTTTAATGATGTCTTTCGTTTTATGATGTTTTGATTACAGTACGATGACAACGGCCGATTATGGCTTCATTGTGATGCCCCAGGGCGTCGCATTAATCAAATAAAAAGTGTGTTGCACAGCTCTCCCCATGCCCTTTCATATGACACATTACTCAATATGGATTCTTTAAATTTGTTTTACAAGGTCAACTTTGACCATGAAGGTCAACCCAAGTACTCATGTCTCCAAAAGGCTTCATATATTGTTGTGAGGTTTCACCCATAAAAATGTTATTACTTATTTCCTCCTTTGCTTACAGGATTTTCACCAAAATGATATCAGCTTGAGCTGTTACTGGTATCTACCACTGCACAAAATTTGAAAATGATATCTTGAAAACTGTGGATGCTACGCTGCAAACATACAATTACATACTCCCTGCCTTCGAGGGGAGAATAAGTATTATTATTTCAACAGTTGTAACAAAAAAATTCTTACATTTGGGATTAATAAAGCATTTATTTTGCATAAATAGAAGGTAACTCAGTTTAGCTCATTATTTTTTGTCATTTGGCTTTTTCATCAGTTCAGTTTAACGTCATCATTGTCAAATATAAAATTCCATCCATCCATCATCATCATCTTTTGTTTATCCGTGGCCGAGTTGCGGGGGAGAGATATAATCTCTCCAGCGTGTCCTGGGTCTCCCCCGGGGCGTCCTCCTGGTGGCACATGCCCGGAACACCTCACCAAGGAGGCGCCCAGGAGGCATCCTTATCAGATGCTCGAACTACCTCAACTGGCTCCTTTCAATGTGGAGGAACAGCAGCTCTACTCTGAGCCCCTCCTGGATGGGCTGAATTGCTTGACCTATCTCTAAGGTAGAGGCCAACCACCCTTCGGAGGAAGCGCATTTCTGCCGCTTGTATCCGTGATCTCATTCTTTCAGTCAGTACCCACAGCTCGTGACCATAGGCGAGGGTAGGGACGTAGATCGACCGCTAAATTGAGAGCTTTGCTTTTACACTCAGCTCCCTCTTCACCACAACGGACCGGTACAGTGTCTGCATCACGGCAGCCGCAGCATCAATCTGTCTGGTGATCTCCCACTCCCTTCTTCTGTCACTTGTGAACAAGATCCCGAGATACTTAAACTCCTCCACTTGGGGCAGGAGCTCATCCCTGACCTGGGGTGGGCACTCCAGCCTTTTCCAGCTCAGGACCATGGCCTCGGATTGATTGATTTTATGATTGTTTGCACTGTGAAAACCATTAATGGATGATTGTTTTTATGTTATGTCTTATTATAGCATGCCGTTTTCACCCGGAGGCATTAGTGAGGAATGAGTAATGGACACAGTTACGCTGAATGAAGTCAGCGTGATTAAGAGACCATCAAACTGGTGCATTGCTCATATGGAAGAAAAGGGCAGGTGGACTAGCAGAGATTTGCAGGAAGGGAACATGATAATTGTTTAATTTAGAGGTACTTTTGGTTGTAAAATTATTAAAGTTATAAAAAAAAAGTGTTCCTCTGTTTTTTTCATGTCTCAGAATTGAAATCTTTACTCCTGTCACAGAGTTGCTCATAGAAAGGTTTTCACAGGTTTATTTCATAATTTCTTTTTGGTTTTCTTTTTTAGTTTTAAAAAAATATTGGATGTATGTATATTATGGGTGACACAATGATGGAGTGGTTAGCACTGTCACCTCAGCCAGGTTGGAAACTCAAATAATGGCTTTCATGAAATTGTGTGGGGTTTGCAAGCTCTCCCTGTGTCGGCGACTCGGCGTGGATGATAATGTGCTTGTAGAGGAAGTAAACGGGGATGGGTTTAAATACCTGGGATAAATGATTCAAAGCAATGGACAGTGTATAACAGAGGTGAAGAAGAAAGTGCAGGCAGGATGGAGATTATGATTATATGGGTGATTTGTAACAAACCAAGAGGAGCATAAGTGAAAGGGAAGGTTTACAAGGTGACAGTGAGACCTTCTATGGTATATGGTTTGTAGACTGTGGCACAGAAAGAAAATCAGGAGGGTGAGCAGACACGGCAGAATTGATCAGAGGGACAGCTCAGTTTGAGTGGGTTGGAGACACAGTTAGAGAAAAGGCTCAGATTGTTTCCACATGTGCAGAGGAAGGATAGTGGATGTAAAATGTGGAACTGCGAGGCAAGAGTAAAGGAGGAAGACCACAGAGAAAGTTCATGGATGTAATGAAGGAGGACATGCAGAGGGCTGGTGTGACAGAGAAGACTGCTATAGATAGGGAGGCAGATGATCTGCTGTGGTGAACCCTAAAGGGAGCAGCTGAATAAGAAAGAAAGAAACAGCAGAATAAATGCACAGAACATAGCACTGTATGAAAGTTATATATGAGTGAATGAGCTTATGGTACTGTTGGATTAAAAAAAAATACTTTATTAAGTTTTAGCAAGTAACAAAGAGTCTGACACACATCCAAAAGAATGACCAGCCCACCCAACATCCCACTGCAGTCCTATTACATAGTTGGCAAATTCACAAACATAAATAAATAAATAAGTTAACTTGTCATCAACAGCCATCAAGCTGACAATCAGAGATTCTGAGATATTACCGAGTACTCCAGAAGCAAGTATTTAAAGCCAGAAGGTGGATAGTGTAGACAGAGTGACCAGACCCTCAAAAACAATTTGGCATGACCATTTATAGTCGCATGTCGTCTTTCATGTGGAAGAGCATTAAAGATTTCCCGGTTCCCAGTGGTAACACTAGAACCTTTAATCCAGTTGGGTGAAATACACTTTCTGGCAATTAGAAGAAGCTTCTCCAGAAATCTGTAGTGTGCTACCAGTAGATGCAACTCGCTAGAGGGTAGGCCTAAGAGGAAAACACCAGGATCTTAAAAAAAAAAATAATAATAAAGAAGCTTGTTTTAAACATTCCACTAATTTCCTTAGACATAACTTTCCAGAACCTGGAAATCAATTTAGACTCTTGTGCAAAACAACAGCGGTGATATGCAATCTGTGAACACTATTATACTGAGTCTCTTGCATATGAAGGTAGATTTGATCAGGGTTATAGCTTCCTGCCAGTCATCCTCTATTTATTCTGTGCCTAAATCCTTCCCCCACGTATGAGCAATATTTACAGCTCACATCCATCAGAGGAACAGAGAAGGAAGTAGACTAGTGAAATAAAATGTCTCCCAGTTTGGTGATATTGTTCAATTTATGGTGTGACACTTTTATATGATTTGTACTGTCTTGATAGCATATTGTCCATAAAGACAGTAACCAGTATAGTGTAGATATCTATCACTGCAAACACAAGAAATTGATGTTGAACCCCAGATTATGCCTCATAAAAAGAATTTCTAAAGCCTAAAAGCACCTTTAGAAAAAGTTAGGGGGAACCTCGACACAAAATACGGACAACGTCATGGCCGTGAATGCCTGCGATTGAATGTCGATAAAAGGGGAAACCCCTTGTCATCAGGAGGGCTGTCTTTAACCTGCTTCTGCACCCCTGTAGCGATCGTCCAATGTCACATTCACAGTTAATACCCTGCGACCCAAATTACAGCCAGTAGATATAATTAGTTTATGTAAATATATTATTTAAATATTGCTATCGAGGTGCTTTTAAAATGCGAGTAAACTGTGTATCTATATTTATATATCACTATTATCCAAACTGGCGTCAGCCATTTTTAAACATTTTAAATGCCTTAATTTTTAATCGCTACCTCGGTCGCTCGGACAGTGGAGTAGTTTTTGTGGAACAGCCACAAAACAAAACAAAACAAAAAAACGCGGAGTCATTTCCCCTTTCGAAGATCACTCAGCGATTCCCTCAGTTTTCCCTCGGCTACTGTACTTGCAAAATAGTGCGCCCTGCTGTCTCTATTGCGCATGACTGTACGTCGTAATATGAAGTAGGCCTCCTGTTTTTCTCCCCAACCCGAAGTCCTCCTGGCCCCCACCACCTCGCTGCAACGCTCACAAGTAAGCAAAACACGGAGGCTGCTTTCGATTATTCGTCAAGGTAAGGGTTTTTAATGCATACGCGAAGCTGTTGGCGGTTACCGATCGTGAAATAGCACGGCAGCCGTGGTTTGTAGACGGTGTTTTCGGCGTGCGGAAGCGGTCGGACTGCAGAGCAGGCTTCGGGACTGTTTCCGCACGCTTGAGGGAGAGCAAGGCCTAGTGACCCACATTTGGAGCAGCCAGTGTCTATGTGTACGAGTGGGCGAGCGCGTGCGCGTATCCTTGCCAGTGTGTGTGTGAGCCCGCGCGCGTGTGCCCGGGCACAGTGTACGTATGTGTGTACGTACATCTGCCGCGAAAATGTTTCCACCGTCGTTGGTTTTATAGATGTGTCTCCGCGGTGGATAGGCATGTTTTTGTCGGCTTACGCGAGGACCTTGCCCCGCGCGGATGTTCATGCGCGGCGTTTGAGGACCCGACGGTAATATTTTAGATTATTTCATCTTCAGTGTCAGTTGTTGCGTGACAGCTTCGGGCTCGGCGCCAGCTTGCTATGATAGAGACATATTTTTCCTCTTGTTTATTTTTGACAAACGTGAAATGCTTTACCCGTGAGTGTCATTCAGTGTTTTCGGAGTGTGAGCAGGAGGAAACTGGGGCAGTAAGAGCATTAAATCTCTGAGTTAAATTGGCAGTTTTCGGTAGCAAGCTTAGTTAGCCTGCTAGCTAGCTATATAGGTTGCTCTCTTTTGGTTGTATAACTAACACCTGTGGCATTAAATTGTATATGTTAAACGCTAGCTTGCCTTATCTTATGGCTCGTTGCTGTTTTGGGAGACGGAAAAACATTCGGTCATGTTGCTCATATGAGAGTTAATTCATTGGGAATGGTTTACAACGTCTTCGTCCAATGAAGAAGCTCAGTTTAACGAGGCTTCACTTATTGGCCATGAAGAGAACACCAAGTACAGGTCAGCATCCCGAAATATAGCCTCGGGACCACCAGTCCTTATGATGGTTTTATACACACGAGGGAGATATGAGAGAGCATCTCTTCTAGTATGCTGTCCATAGGTGTTAGTGTAGTCTTCGTGACCTCTCTGCCCACACTTATATACAGCAAAATCCTCTTAGAAGGCGTTGATTAAGTGGTGGTCTGTTGTCCCTGTGACGGTGGGACTACTTGACGAGTTTGGGAGCGACTCCTATAGACTAATCTTTTAAGCCTTTAGCAAATGCTGAAATTGATTATTCGACTCTTGTGCATGAGTTTGCTTGTAGAAAAAAACACTCACAAGTTATTGCTGTTCAGTTGTGGTGCTGGTTGGTGTTAATGTAAAGAGTAAATCTTTAGACTGTTGTTTTTATTTAAAAAAAAAAGAAAACACACACTGAGCATTAATGCGAAGACTAGGTTGGCCATAACAGTTTGAGAATCAAAACAACAGAACTGTTGATTAACAGGAAAACAATCAGCAACTACTCTGATAAGTCATCACCAGTCATTTTTCATGGCAAAATGCCAAGGTTATATTGGGTCCAGCACCTCAATTGTGATCATATATCTCTGTAAAATGATTGGACTGTTGCTGAGATAATGGGGTATTTGTTGTTAATTTTTATATGAAAGTAGTATTAAATCCCTTTTACTTTTAACCGTTTCTTAGACAGAGCAGACTTGTTTTTGGCATTTTAGTGGTATGACAAATCTATGTGTAAAAGCTGATTACTTGCAGCTCAAGTTTCCTGTTTTGTACTTTGCAGCAACTAACATCTGCATTTTTCGGGTGACTTCTAGAATTTCTGTGCATGGTAAACACTGGGTGTATGTTTGTGTTGCAGGTGAGGTGTGGTTTGCACACACAAGATTTGTCAGCAACTCAAAGGCTGCGATCTCAAACAGCGAATTATACCAAAAAGTGACATTCCAGAAGGTAAGTTACATGATGTAAGTGCAGAAGTAAATTTCATTTCAGGGTATTTTTTCTGTATTGGTTTATGTTATTCACACTTTGAAGATCCTGTCACATGTTATACTGTAATTTAATAATCTTAATTCATAAAATACATTTATGTCCATAATGTATATTGTACCAAAATTAAAAGGAAGAAACTGATGTTAAAGGGGAAAAAAGAATAAATAAAAATAAATCTTGGTTTAAGAAATGGCAGACAGTGCACTAGGAGATGGTTATTATGTTTCCAAACTCTCTGGTTGGTTTCCTCATGACCGTTGGTTTCTGCTCTGATTTCATCCAGCAGGTTTGCTTGACCACCATGTCCTTCCTGTGGCCTGGTGCCCTCTCATGACCCCAATGACCTCAGCTCCAC